ACCATGACAATTTAAAACAATTACCTAAAGTAATGCATGGTTTCGGTAAACATCCCAACAGAACACGTGCAGCTTTTTTCTGGTAAATGCCTTAATGATGTGAAAAATCTGAAACCTCACAAAAAATACACAGGAAAAGATATTAGAAATATTGCTTAATTGATTTGGATAAAACATGGTCGAAAATCTGTTGAATCAAAAATTTACAAGAATAAAAATAATGTTTACAAGTGGTCTTAAAAACTGATGATCTTTGGATCCTAAGAAAAATCTTTTAATTTATCACAATCTTATGCTATAAGATAATTTAGCAAAATTTATTAAAAGATTAAAAACTTATACTTAACTTTGTTCATTCCCCATAAAGGGAAAACCACAGTAAACTATTGACAACTTTTGATTTTAACATTTATTGCATTATTTTGTGTGATGTGAGTTTTGGTTTACATTTTAGGTGTTTAAGATCCCTGTTTTTTTGTCAAAAGTGTTCTGACATGGAAGATTTTTTGTTTTTGTATCTGGATAAGTTAGAAGTTTTTGATTAATAAAAAAAAAAAAAAAATTCAGCATGGATAGCAGCTGGAAAAAAAATGCTAGGCTCTAAGATTTTAACAACTGCAAGATCTTTTTATTACTGGTTAAAGATGACTCAAGGTAAAATTTAATCAGGATTCATTTGCAGCATTTTAGAATTGCAGTTTTTCATTTAAACTTTTATATTTATTTTAAAAGGGTCAACATGATCTGGAATAATAAAATAAATCACAGCTGGGAAGCTAATACTAAAATTTGAAGAACTTTTTATTTGAAAAAAAAATCTGACATATTTAGAGTTGAATTAAACAAATTTTTTACTTTAAAATAAACTGAACATAAGTGAAAATATCTACTCAAAATATCCAAAGAACCAAAAGAAAATTTTCCTGATAATCTTCATGAGATCTTTATGATGCATTATGGTTTGGTATCTTAGTCTACATTTATAGAAATTAAGCAAATGGTTTTGATATTGATGCAAAAAAATTTAAATAGCCTTTTGTTCTTTAAACCTATATATCATAAAACTTTATATTCTATTCAGCGATAAAACATCATATTACACAGAGAAAGTGATGCTCTTGGACTAACCAGTGAGCAAGCTAGAGAGTCACATCATTCAAAATTTTCAGAGATTTCAAGGTACATATTGCCCAAGACTATCATACAAGAAAAAATGTATGAATGTTTTAATATATATGCATTTTATATAACAATAATTATTATTGCTATTATTATTATCAAAATCTATGCAAATATATCTTAAATAGCATTTTTTATTTTTTTATTTGAAAAATAACTTTTTTATTTGTAAAATGCCATATTTCATTAGAACAGAATGTTAAAATATATATTTGAAGTCACTAGACAAAACCAACAAAAAAAGTTTTTTGTAAAAAAGTTTTTCTGTACAATTGTTTTTAACCTGAAGTTAGTTTAGCGACACAGTGCTTCAATGAAAATCAGACAACTAACAAAACGTTTTGCATTGTTATAATGAACGTAGCAGTGTTCCCTAATTTGCTGTATTGTTGAATGTACAAGAAAATCGAAAACATTCAATTATTTTAAAATGAAGATTAATATGAGACTATTCTTTTCTTTTTAAAGCATAATTTTTTCACTATAATTCACTAACTTTTTATAAAAATTTTGCAAAGAAGTAAACAATGATTATAGAACAATAAAGTTTTTAAATTTTAGATTAAAATTCTAACAGATAATAAAAAACCCTAGTTAAAAAATACAAAATTCTAAACAAATACAATGTAATTTTATTATTAATAATCAATTATTTAATTATTTAATAAGGATTTCTGGAAGATTAATAATGGTGCAAAAATAAGAGTTGCCCTCCAGTTTTGGGCAAAACGAAACTCTTTATCAAAAATGTTACTTGCCTCTGAGAATAGTCTTTCTGAATAGACAGATCAAACAAGGACAAAGTTTTCTTGCTATACAGCATATATGAGGATAGCAATCCTTATTATTGCTCCAATATTTTAACAATGCTTATTTATTTTCTAATTTACCTATTTCTTTATTAGCAATAAAACATTTTTAAAAACATTTTTATCTCTTTATTTACTATTGCAATATTCTTTGTTTTGCACGAATATGGGTAATTACTGATAACAACATTGATTTTGATTTTGTAATCATTAAAAAATTTTGATCAGTAATCATAAAAAATTATTGTAATGGTCCCAATTAACTCCCATTCACTTGAACTTAATATTAAATTTAATAAATGATAGTGGTTTTTTATATATTAAGTTATTTTTATATTAAGTATTAAATTAAATTTAAATTATTTTTAATATTAAGTTTTGGCTTGATATAAAAAAATTTTTGTGGGGAAAGGGGGGTCTTGTTTTCCTGATTCATATAATTTACAAGTTTTAAGTCTTCTTTTAATCAAAATCTTGCTTTATAAACTTCATCTTTTTCTTCCAATAACTTCCAACTCTAATAGTCTAATAGCCTTGTTGGAAGTTAAAAGATGTTAAAAAAAAAAAGTCAATCAACAACAAATATATATATATTTTTGTTTTAACATTTTGTTTGAAAACTTCACTTACAAAAAAATTTGTTGTTTCATTATATAAATATATATATATATATATATATATATATATATATATATATATATATATATATATATATATATATATATATATATATATATATATATATATATATATATATATATATATATATAATGAAAATTTTTTATCAAATACTTATAAAGATTATAAAAAAATTTACTTAAAGTTTCATTAACTTATTATTGTATATAAATATATTAAAATATATATACAAAAATATTATAAAATAATTTTATTTATTTTTATAAAAAAAAAAAATTTAAAAATCATTTCAATCAGGAACATTACCTAAGTTTTGTGCCAATATTATTCATTATTTAAAAAAGGTAATAAACTTGATCCAACTATTGACATCTATTGTGTGTAAAACAATGGAGGATCGTTAGGGATAAGATGATGAAATATCTAACTGATAACAATTTAACGCGAACCAACATGGTTTTGTAAACAATAAAAATTGTGTTTTAAATTTATTGGAAACATTTGATTGTATTACAATGTCGATTAATGAAGGTTAGGTAATTGTGATGCTATTTCTGGACTTCGCTAAAGTATTCGACTCGGTAGACCATGAGAAATTATTATTTAAACATAAGAGCCTTGGATTTGAATCTAAAGTATTAAATTGGTGTAGAGGCTTTTCAAAAAACAGATCACAGAGAGTGGAATTAGGTAATTTTGAATCAGAATGGGAGAAGGATGTAAGCAGCATACCACAAGGTTCAGTTTTAGATCCTCTCTTATTTGTTGTATTTATTAACAACATAGCAAAAATAATCAAATCAATTTTTAAAATGTTTGCTGATGACACGAAACTCTTACGAGCTATCAAAGATGTAAAAGATTTAAATGAAATACAACAAGATATTAATTTGTTAGTAGAATGGTCAAACGAGTGGTGAATAAAATTCAATAAACAAAAATGCAAAATAATGATAGTTGGTAATAGTCAACAACAATTCGAAATTATGATCGAGGGCAAAAAATTAGTGAATACAAGTTTGGAAAAAGATTTAGGAGTTCTAATTTCAGACGATTTGGAATGGAATAATCATGTAAACTTTGCAGTGAACAAAGTGAATTAAAAACTTGGTCAAATCAAACATGTCTTCTATTATATAAATGAGATTATGATGAAGATATTATTTGTCTTATTAGTTAGACCTCACTTAGAATAAATAGTCACAATTTGAACCTGTGCTGGCAGAATGATAAAGATAAATTTATGAAAGTCCAACAAAGAGAAATTAGAATCGAAAGTTTACAAGGTATGAGGTGCGAGTTTAAAATATGGTATGAGAATTAGTTTACGGTATGAGTTTATGGTATGAGAACGAGTTTACAAGCTATGAAGAAAGACCTAAAAAACTTGATCTACTATCGCTTGAAAAAGAAGAAGAGGAGATTTAATTCAAATGTTCAAATATTTTAAAAGATATGACAATTTTTACCGTCCACCAGAAATTATTGATATCGAAAGAAAAAAAAAGGGTCACAATTTGAAATTAAGAAGGCAGTTAACAACCAACATGAAAAGATTAAACTTCTTTACAAATAGAGTAGTGAATGATTGGAAAGATCTCAAACAAGATGCAATTTATGCAAGCATTGTCAATCAACTTAAAAACAAAATAGACAAACATTTTAAATATTCGTGATTATTTTTATTAAAACTTTTTTGTTTTGTTACAGCTGTTACAGTCTCGAACTCAGCATAGTTTGGACTCAACACTCAAGAAATTGAGTGTACAGCATATTTCTATTCTATTCAATTCTAACACATTCCTAGAAAATGTTCCAAGAATCAAAATTGCTTCAAGCATTAAAAGTTTGCACAAAAACATTTGTATCTTTATGAGTCAAGTAAAATATTTAAACATACAACATGTACTACCAAATTAATATAGGGACACCCCATGAGAACTCTTAACAACCCCTAAAATGACCAGTTGTGTGGTCATAACCACTTTAAACTTAAAATGGAGCCAAAAAATGAAAACCTTGGCCCCAAAAGCTCCTTAAACATGTATCATATGTCTACATTTAACCCATGAATAGTTTTGCCATTTTGATTTGATTCTGGAACACTGTACATTGGCAAAAGATTTGAATAACTCTTGGTAAGCAAATCTTGATATTGAAGAAGACAGATTAAATCCTTTTCAATAAGCCTTTTCAATAACCTGCTGTTTTGTAGTTAGTATTTATTTTAGTTCTCTTTTTTTCTCCCTAAACACAGGACTAATTTAATGAAAACTTGTTGTAACGCCATATGCACCTTATATTTTACAAAAAACTTATTGGTTTGTAAAATAAATAACTAACAAATGAATAAAAAAATCATGAAAAACTTACATTTATTATTCTTGGTATTAATCTCGATTTTAATCTGAACCGTACCTAAAAAAAAAAATTCAGAAAATTTTTAAAAAATTTTTCTTTTTTAATTATTAAAAAAAAAAAAAAAAGAAAAAAAAAAAAGAAAGGAGAAATATTTTAATACATTTTAACAAACTTAAAATTTTTAATAAATCAAAAAATAAAAACATGACAAATCATTCAAAATTTGCTCAGAAACATATTAGCTTGAATAAGACAATTTCGAAGCAAAATATAGGTATAGGTATAAATGAACAGAAAATTCTTAATGAATAAATGAATAAATGTCAATAAATAAGCAGTGCTAATATTATAATTGTATATACAAAATTCAGGTTGGCATTTGGCAATGACGACGCAAAAGCCAACCTATCTTTGCTTTAGGATGGCATACAACTGCCGACCTGAATATTCTAAAGTGTCAGCATGCAAATTGAAATACATGTAAAAAATATCTAATATTCATTAAATATTATTTTATAATTTTTTTATTGTAATTACTTGCTTTTCAAGTTTGACATGTTTTATTAAAACAATATATTCATTCATTTTTTTTCAATTCATTTTTTTTCTTTCTCAAATTTATTCAAGCATAGCAAAGTTAAAAAATATTACTATTTAAATGCCTGTTGTTCTCACGCTTTTTAAGTGCAATTATTATTTTATTAAAATATAAAATCTAATTTTAATTTGTTTTTTTTTACTTAAAACCATGTAACTAATTAAATAATTTACATGCTTTTTTAGAATTATTTAAGATCAGAAAGTATATTAGGAAAGTTTAGCCTTGTTGTAGTTATGTTAGAAACATTAGCTACAAAACTTTTTTTTAATTTGATAAAAGTTAAGGCTTCCATTAAATTGTAACAGACACAACAGTAATACAATAAGCTAACTCAAAACAATGTTTATATGTAAGAAAAAAAAACTATTTTTAGTATTTTTAACTTTTGTTTTCCCTCCATCAATTTATATATAGTTACACGTTCATACTATACTATAATAAAATATTGAAAATCACCACCCCTACTAATGGAGAAATAAATGCTAATTTCTTGCTAAGGTTAAACAACCGGATATTTACTGTCTACTCATTTTGTTAAACAATTTGCCGTTTTAAATAAAATCTTCGCCTACAGCACATAAACTAAACTTGTATTTCTAAACGACATTCTTTTTATGAGCAATCTAAAAAACAAATCAAAATGTAATAAATAAACTATGACCATTTTTTTTTGTAATAAAAAATAACTTCAAAACTAAAAAAAAATTCTTTAAAATATTATTGTCTGAAGCTATGCTATTATAAAGCAATCCTTTTATAATCAATCATTAAAATGTAAGTTTATAATCAGTTTTAACAGAAAAAATTTTGCAAGTATTGAAAATGCTCCTGAAAAAATATTTATGCTTTAACTTCATTTAATTATGTTATTGTCACAGAATATATTAAATTTATTAATTAACAGTATTTTAATTTTATTACATATTAATTAATAATTAATTGATTATTCAATATTCATGACGTGTATTTCACATAGTTTGTATTTTACAAATGATGTATTCATGACAGTCATATCTAAATGATGTATCTAGTATTATGACAGTTTCATTTTAGGTAAAAGCCTTTTTAAAGCTTGAACCTTTGAAAAACTTTTTAAAAAATAATAATTAAATAATAATAAAAACTTATTTCCATGCATTTTAGGCAAAAACTCCTCAACCTAAAACATCATGTTCTTAGAAGCTCCTGTGGAACCAGAAAAAAAATATTTTAGTAAAAGGAATTTTTTGATTTTGGTGACATAACAAATCTACTCATTGTAACAAATCCAACAATGTATGACAATGCCCGGGGTCAAAACTAAAAAGTGGTTATGGGCATATGAAATAACAATATTAACTATACATTTTGTGACCAATTAATTAAATAACACTTCGTGACCAATTAATTAAATAAATTTTTTGCTACTTTTTATAGAATCCTAATATTTTTTTCTATCTGAAGTCATCAATTCATCAGAAAATAAGGGAAGATATGATTCAATTGAAAAAACTTTAGATGAAATTAGACGTAAACAAAAGCTTTTTAAACTAAAGAACTATTTCAAACTTTTCAAACTAAAGAACTATCTCTTTCTCTTTTCTACAAATACTATCATGGTCACTGCTCAAAGGAGTTATCATCTCTAGTTCCATCAACTAAAATTCATTCTCGTTTTACTCGTCATTCAGCTAAATCTCATTCATTTACTGTATCTGTCCCTGCATGCTCTAAAAACTTTTATTCATCTAGTTTTTTTCCCCGCACTTCAATCCTTTGGAACTCTCTCCCATCTTCATGTTTTCCTGACTCATACAACCTTCAACTTTTCAAGTCTTCTGTCAACCGCTTCCTTGCTCTATAACTCAGTTCTTTTTTTTCCTAGCAACTCCCAACTTAACAGTGGTTGCTTGCAGCCTTGTTGGGACTGAATGCAAATAATAATAAAAAAAAAAAACTATGTTTTGTGAGTTAGAAAATATTATTTTAACCAAATTATTGGGGTTTTTATAAACAAGGTGTCAAAATAAGTGTACAAGACAATGTAAATTTTTATTTTGAATTAACTAATTATCTTGAACCTTATTCTGGTATTTTAGGCTATGAAACCACTAGCAGTATTTAATTAAAAAAAAAAACCCACTGAGACACAGAGTGTTAAGTCTTAAAATGGGAATAAAATCAGGAGAAACTCTCCAACCCATCTTTGTTTTTAGTTTATAAATAAGAGTTAAAAAATAACCTTATTATTTAACTCTTACCTTGTTAATAATATAATTTCTTTTTTTTTAATTTTAAGTTTCCTTATAATAAAAAAAAAAATTAATGCAAAGGTGATAGTCAGTCATTTATGAACATAAAAGCAGCAAATCTAAAGGTGCATTCAGGACATCACTTTTCCTTACATCTTTATAAAACCTGAGTTTTTTTTTGGTGAAAAAACAGCTCTTGCTTCCGAGATAACATCTTTTTTTTCTGATTTTTTTTTTCCCTAAATGTTGACTATTTATGTTGCAAATGTACATAATGATAATATTGATTATTATCAAAAGTTAAATTTGAACGATAACATAAAGTTTATACATTTTTACAAAACAAATAAATTAAAATGATAAAATAAGGGTTAGCATGAGACACATTTTAATTTGCTAAAATTATATTCTGGCATGAAACAGGTTAAAAATGAGTGTTTTATATTTTTAAACAACCTGACTTGTATTGTGAATAATATTTTATAACCTAATAGAAATCTTACCTACAATATTTTCATCTAAAATGAAAATATTGTAGGTAGATCAATAAATGGAAACTATATGAATAATGTAACATATGCAGATGACATTATATTTTTAGTTTCACCCTGTTAATTAATATCAATATTGATTAACCATAAGCTTTATTATAGTATTTTTTTTTTTAATATTGTTTTATAAGATAAGTTATATAAGTGCTAATTAATATTCAATTATAAATAAGAACCTTTAAAACTTGTCATTGAAAAATAAAACCTTGTAAATATGGTGATAGCTATTATAAACTTATTTTCAAATTAAATTATTATTTATTTTTTAGATTCATAATATGTTTAAAATAGAAAAATGACATTATTAGATAGTTAGAAAACCAGAAAATCTTTGAAGAGTAAATATCTTGAAGGTTTCATTTATGGAAGATTTTGACCTGGGTGTTAAAGAAATCTTAGATTCAAAAACTTTCTTAAGTCAATCAATCAAGCAAGGCTCAATCAACAAAAAGCCTTTTTTTTTAAACATCTTCACTTCTAACAAGGCTGCAAGCAACCACTAATTAGTGTTGGAAGTTACTGGAAGAGAAAAGACGAAGATTGTAGAGCAAAATAATGATTGACAGGCGACTTGAAAGATTGCAAATCATATGAATCAGGAAAGCAAGATGAAGGAAGCGAATTCCAAAGAACTGATGTTCAAGGAAAAAAACTAGACGAATAAGAGTTTTTGGAGCACTTAGGAACAGTAACAGAAAAAAAAAAAGACTTAATTGAATGACGAGTAACAAGAGAATGAATTTAAGTAGATGACACAAGAGACGATAGCTCTTTAGAGCAGTGTCCATTATAGTATTTGTAGAAAAGAGAAAGAGAAGCAACATAACAAGAATGTGACAAAGGTTGAAGTTTGGCTGCAAGAGCATGCCCAACTATGTTTACAATGCGTTTTTGCACCTTGTCTAAAAGAGAAAGGACATCATTAGAAGATCCGCCCCAGATATGGCAACAGTATTCCATACAGGGACAGATTTGAGATTAATAAAGTTAGAGAATAGAATCCGGCGTAAGAAAAAGTTGAGGTCAATAAAGACATGCAACTTTAGCAGATGCTAATTTTGCAACGGATTTGATATAAGGTTTCCAAGAAAGATCAGAAGTAAGAGTTAATCCTAGAAGATGAAAGGTAGATGACTCATAGAGTACATTACCATTCATAAATATAGGTTGATCTAACTTATTGTGATAACAATTGGCTGAAAAAAATTGTGTTTAATCTGAATTAAAGTTCACCAGCCACTGTGAGCCCCATGCTGTAGCAGAAGTGAGATCCTTTTCAAGCTCAAATCCCCTTCCAAGCAATCAGAGGAATTTGGCTTCTTATCGTGACAAGAATAAATGGTAGTATCATCAGCAAACAATGCCACTTTAGATGTGAGAATATCTGGAAGATCGTTAATGTAAATTAAAAATAGTATAGGGCCAAGGATTGAACCTTGAGGAACCCCTGAGGTTACAGAATAAGAAAAAGAGTGCTGTCCATCAAGGACAACTTTTATACTACGATTGGAAAGGAAGGATTCAATAATCTTAAAGATGTTTCCAAATACACCATAAATAGAAAGCTTATGGAATAGACCAGCATGCCAAACTTTATCAAATGCTTTAGAAATGTCAAAAGCAATGACCTTAACCTCTCCACCATTATCTAATGCACAAAAAACCTATCGATTA